AAAACGACTGTAACTTATATTTAGGGACTGTGCAATAATTAATAACCAGGAGGGGGGGCGTAAAACCAGAAGGGAGGGTCATTACATAAAATTGATGGCCAGATAGGGGGGGCTCAAAGTAAAATTACCTTAATTAACAGAGGGGGGCCTTAAGTTTCATTCAAAATTTTCATAATTTTCGATGTCTCTCAAAACGCTGGAAATCGCATTTCCAATAGTTATTTATTTCAAAATTTTCTGGGGGAGGTCCAGACTCCCTTAATACTCCCTCCTTTGGYGATTATTAGACCCCTAGATCCAAAATATGTGTCGCGCGGTCCCTGACAGTGCATAAAAAGTCCACACTTTGCGCAGTGACTAATGAAAATCTACATTCAAAGACTCGTCGATGTGGGATTCAAATTGACCAAGGTATGAAATTTTTTTCAACTATTGATTTTTTTCAATTTTGTCACATAAATCGACGAGTACTAGTAATATCAAAGTCGTTTTTGACCATTAAAACGTTACATAAGCCTTTTTTGGACCTTGAAAACCTTTGCCAGGAACAAAAATATTTGAAAGAAGCAAGGGCGCCACATTTAGGGGTGGCGAATGGTAAAATCTGAGATCCGTCGAGACGCCGAGATCGCTGTTCTAAAATCCGAGATCGAGATTTTAAAAATTCCAAACTCCGAGAAGCGAGATTAATGTTTTTATGTTCTTGTTTATCGAGTTAACACGGAAAAAMAACATTTATTTAGAACAATTATGCATTATATAAATCAACGCTCTCGAGAGCATCAAAATCCGAGATCTTGTTATAGAAATTCCGAGATCCGAGGCGAAAAAATTTGCCGGAAACACGAGATTCCGAGATCCTTTTTTTGGCAGTCCGAGATTTCAAGATTCTACCAAAAATTGCCGAGACCCAGTCCCATTCGCCACCCCTACATTTGTTTAGTGAGATTTTCAACAATGTAGCCAATGTAAAATCTCTTTAATTTACCCAGGAACAAATTCATACAAGAACAGTTATTTAACAGAACAGACCCCGTCAGCTCCTCACTGAAAAGTTTTTGTCTTACCCCGTCCACACTAAAGCGTTTTCGTTTGTGAAAACGTATAGATTGAACTGCGTCCACACTAGCGTATTCAAGCGTATCAGTGTGGACAGTTGAAAACACAAATACGGTCATATCGATCAAATAGCCGACTTGCGAATTACGCATCAATAGTCACATACAAAGGAATCAAGACGAGGCGCCGTGCTAAAGACAATAGATTTTTCACAAAAAAGCACGGCGCCTCGTCTTGATTCCTTTGTATGTGACTATTGATGCGTAATTCGCAAGTCGGCTATTACATGTCTTCTTCGATAAAGAAAACTCAAAAAACAAGAAAAAAACTGCTTAAGACCCTTTCATCTGGGCAGATAATGAATAGAAGGTTTCAAAACGTACGAAAGCGTGGATTGGGAGTCCAAAGCATTATTTAATGCAGACATTATCGAACTATTCAAAAAACACATTCCATCGACAGAGGAAAAAAACTCCCAATCGCTTTCATCTGGAAAAGACTTGCCACAAAGCAGACGATATTACAAAGAATATTTTAACTACAAAACTTTTTTAAATCCATAGGACCAAGGGGAATGATGACGTCATCGTTTTCAAAAGGAATTGTTTTCGCTGTCCACACTGACCGGGATGCCGTATCGTTTTCAAAACGATTCACTTTCAACAGCGTTTTCAAAAGGATCCGTTTTCGATGAAAACGCTCAGCGTTTTCGAGCGTATTAGTGTGGACAGAAGGGCAAAACGCATACTTTTCGATTCGTTTTCAAACGAAAACGCTCTAGTGTGGACGGGGCCT